TAATTGCGGAGGTGTGGTGGTACGGGTAGGTTGGGGGTTAATGGGAAATGAGGACACATTTGTAATACCTTAACCAATAAAGAAATTTAAAAAAAAAATCTGCTTTGCTGGAACTTTTCATAAGGAATCTCAGATAGGACTTTTTAAAATCCTCTCAAGGCTAGGAAGCCAAGCCAAGGTCTTAGCCTCAAACTTCGCCTGCAATAACCTATACTATGTCTGGGTTATTTCCTCTCTTATCAAGGTCCCCAATATATCCTGATGCTCCTGCACCTGCCAGGAAGTGACCATCCTTTCTTACCCGATAAGGCTGACAGGAGCCCTATAAGCAAGATGCCAGGAAGCTTTTCCAACGGGCTTTATTGAAATTCCTCAAAACTGCCTGGTCATGCATGATTCTTTGCACATTTTCAAATGTGACATTCTAGTCAAGTCTTGGTACTAAAAACAATGTTTCCAATTGTGTCCTTTTACAAGGAGAACAGATTCTTGTTGAACTTGTGCAAAAAAAACTATGTGTTCATGAAAACAAGAATACATACTCAGAATTTCCAAATTCTGGGGGAATCAGGTAGGGAAATGAGTAATTGTTTCATCTTGTTCACAAAGGTGTACTTACCAAATTGCTGTAAGTCATAGATAGTTTAGGAGAAAAGGAAAGTTTCCTTAAATCTGGAAAAACAAAACATTTAAAAAGTTATAAAAATTATAATCATCCTTATTCTTTCATTCAGTCCTAGATAATAAATTCGTGTTGATCTTGATATTTTATGAGAAGTTTTATGAATCCACTTTTTCCTTAGAATTTTCTTGGTTAATTCTTACCCAGTTCAGTGGTACGATCTGAAAGTTATCAGAAACCTGTACTTTTCAGAGTCCTTTCCATGAATCTCCCTGAAGAAGCAACACTTTTGCAAAAGCAAAACAATACTTTCTATAGATGGCAAAAGATTTAAAAATGGTCATAAAGAGCTGAGGACATTTGGTTGTTTCTGTGACATACATTTTACGAAAATACCTAGAGTTACAAGTGATAACATTATACTAGGACATACCAGATTTCCAGGAACTTCATACAATTTCTGGAACACATTAATAACATGTTTCCCTACAAATATAACAAAATATTTTTGCTTTTATGTGCCAATTCTGCCCATGTTATACAACAAAAGCCTAATTAGTATCTTTTTTTATTTTTTCAAGGAGAGAGTAATCTGAGATGTTCTAGGGATCCTTTGATATGTTCCAAGTTCAAAGTAAAAAAAACTTAATTTAGAATTTTTCAGTTTTTCCCCAAATATCAAAAGTTTTAGATACTTGATAGTAGGATCATAGACAATTATGAAACAACTAGAGGCCCGGTGCATGAAATTCGTGCATGGGTGTGGTCCCTAGGCCTGGCTGGTGATTGAAGTGCGAGCATCTGGCATGGAAGGGCAGGTCCCAGCTGACCTCTGGGCCCTGGGCAGCACCTGGGCTCCCAGACCCCTGCATGCCCCCCTCCGCCTAAGTCACGGCGCCTGAGTCCCCACGTGGAGATGTGGTGAGTGCAGCTGGACTCCGAGAGCCAGGGAGTAGTGTGGGCCTCTGGGCCACCCAGCAGTGCTGCACAGAAGCTGGGTGGGCAGCACGCTCTCTCCCAGTCTGCCTCGAAGACCGGCTTCTGCACGAGTCCACAGGGAGCCCAACTGGTCCCAGCGGCTGCGGCCCAGCTCACCCAGAAGAGGCCACGCGGGTGCAGGGCAGGCTCTTTGTAGGCACCCGGTACCTGAGCGTGGGAATTACCCTGGTGCACGAGCCCTGGCATTCCGGGGGAGGGTAGTAGGGGAAGTAAGAGTTGCGCAGACACCCTGCATTCTCACCGCACCTCCGTCCCTGTAAACCCCCACCCCCAGGTAGCCGGTGAGATGTCACAACCCCTCACTCGGGCACCATGGGAAGTTGGTCACTGCCACCCACCCCAGTTCCCCATCCCAGCCCGGGGCCCGGCCCTGATCAGGCGATCAGGGCCTGCCAGCCGCCACCACTGGTTGCCATCTGCAGGAAATTGATCGGGCTGGGCCCCCCCCCCCCCCCCGCCCGGCTCCCTCAGTACCTGGGAGTTGAGTGGTGGCCCCTCCCCCTGCCGCCACTGCTGGTGGTTGCCGCCCATGGGGCGATCGGGCCCCCACTCACACCCGCCTTGGCCTGGCACCACCCACTCACCTGATCCAACATCCCGCCTCAGTCCCGCTCTCATCAGGGCCCATCGGGGCTGGCAGTGCCTCCAGCGCTGCATCCCGAGGCCTGCCATGTTCCACGCCGCCCCCTGGTGGTTAGTGCACATCATAGCAAGCTATCAAACTCCTGGTTGAGGGGACAATTTGCAT